ATATATTTACCTTTGCCAGTGAGTTTTACACTTTTATATGTTTTCATGTTGCTAATTAGCATCCTTTGTTTCAGCTTGAAAAATTCCCTTAAGTATTTCTTATAACACAGCTCTAGTTGTGATGAGCTTCCTCAGCTCTTGTTTGTCTGTAAATGTCTTTATGTCTCCTTCATTTCTGAAGAACAGCATTGCCAGTTGGCATTTTTTTCTTTCATCATTGTGAATGTGTGATTCCACTCTTTCCTGGCCTGGAAGGTTTCTGCTGAGAAATCTGCTGATGGTGTTATGGGGGCTCTCTTATCGTATATGAGTCACTTTTCTCTTGCTGCTCTTTTTGTCTTTGACTTTTGACTGTTTGATTACAATGTGTCTTGGTGAAGATCTCTTTATCTTCAGTCTATTTGAGGTTCTTTGTGCTTCATGGATCTAGGTGTTGATTTCCCTCCCCAATTTGTGAAGTTTTCTGTCATTGTGTCTTTAAATAAGATATTTGCCCATTTCTCTTTCTCTGCTCCTTCTGGGACTCCTGTAATGTATACATTATTTTTTTGGATGGTGTGCCATAAGTCCTGTAGGCTCTCTTTACTCTTTTGAATTGTTTTTCCTTTTTGTTCCTCTGACTAGATAATTTCAAATGATCTGTCCTTGAGTTCATTGATCTTTTCTTTTTCATGCTCTAGTCTGTTGTGGAACCTCATTAGTGGATTTGCAGTTCAGTCATTCTTCAGCTCTAGGGTTTCTGTTTCGTTCTTTTTTATGGTTTCTATCTTTTTGTTAAACTTCTTATTTTGTTAATGTATTGTTTTCTTGATTTCATTGAGTTGTCTATCTATATTCTCTCTTATCTCAGTGAGCCACTTTAAGATGATTATTTTGAATTCTTTTTCAGGCCCCTAGTAAATCTCCATTTCGTTGGGATCAGTTATGGGAAATTTATTTTGTTCCTTTGGTGATATCTTATTTCCTTGATTCTCCATGTTCCTGGAAACCTTGCATTGCTGTCTTCACATTTGAAGAAGCTGTCACTTCCTCCATTCTTTACTGATTGGCTTCAGGAGAGAAAGGTCTTCACCAGTCAGCCTGGCTAGAGATACTGGGGGTCTTTCAGACTCTTTCTGTGGACGTAGTTTCTCCATTCCTCCTGTTGCCCTTTGAGGAGAAGTTTAGGTTGTATGCCTTCTCTTGATCTTGCAAAGCCGGACTGGGTGCTGAAAGCTGCCTATTTATTTTCCTTAGGGAAATGCACTGAAGTATTCAAGGTTGTGCACCTTCTCCCAATCCAGCAGATCCAACTGGATACTGATATTTGTGTGCTCTCTGTGGGAGCTTGCATGCACCATCTGCAGGGGTACATGGGGATTGGCTATAGGAGGTGTTCTGCCACAAGCCCAGCTGGGCTAGGATGGCAGAGTATCATACCAAGAGACTGAAGAAATGACCTGGAGACTGCGAACGAGACATTTAGGTTTATTGGGACTTACTTACAGGGAGAGTGTCCAGTGGTGGCCAGCTGGACAGAAGTATGCACGTGCCTGTCGCCACCCCCTAAGAGAAGCTTGCTTAAGTAGGCAGAGGAACAAAGGCTGCATGCTTGCCAAAGGACTGTCCTTGGTATGACCAGCATTCCCAGGAACAGTAGCTCACATTGAGGGGCTCTGCGCCCCTGTAAGATGCAGTGTTCCTCTCCTGGGATAAGGAAGGATCCAGGCTGACAAGGCCCAGATCATTACAAATCCCTGTCGCTGGGCTGCCTGCCCAGAAAGGAGCCAGAAGGACACATGGTTGCAATGGGCCTGGAGGTTTTCACTGAGCAAGCAAAGCCCAGGCCCTACAGGAGGGGAGGGTGCATGGAGTGCTGGTGGTACATGTCAGCTAGTTGTGGGATCTGCAGGTGGTGGTCCTACTGGGTTCGTGGGTGAGGCTCTTGTTAGTCTGCAATCCAGTAAGTAGGCACTGTCACTGGTTGTTGAGATCTGTGCACTGATAAAAGTGAGCTCCCACCCCTTTTCTCTGCTCTTAGCAGTCTCCAATTTATTCAGCTTTTCCAATACTTTTAATGTTCTGAGTGTGGAGAGATGGAAATGGGCCTCTTGTGCAGTATCCTACAAGGCTGGGGAAGCTAAGAGCTCATTTTGTTCTCACTTTCCCTGTGGGAGAAATCGCAAGTGAAGGTGGTCTCTCTTGGCCCTGAGCTGTGCTGCCTTCGGAGAGGAGTGTCATGAGTAAAGTGAAACTGTTCTTATCCTTGCAATGCTCCACTGGGGGTGTTGGAACCTCTCAGCTGTGCTCCCAGGCTTCCCATAAAGGTATTTTCCTCCATTGGTCATTGTTAAAATCAGTGTTTCTCTGAGGGTATGAGGTATGGGACCTCCTATTTCATCATCTTATTGATGTCCAGAAGAGAGAATTCTTTATTTCAGTAGGTTTCAAATATCCAGTGATATTTCATAAAACATTCAAGCTATTAAAAAAAAAAACCTCACTTTTTTATTGATTTGATGACAAGGTTAGAGAAAACTCTTACAGGGTGTGAACAAGAGGAAAGTAGTTTTAGGCAGAAGCAAGAGGCCCGCATGTGTGTATCAGTTATCAGAGCAAACAATGGTTTGAGTTCAGATGAACTTGAAGAATCTGAAGTTTTAATGGTCAAGGAGGTGAAAATCCAAAGTCTTGGGTACTTTGAAGAATGGCTCTGTAGAGCAGGAGTTAGAGTGATCTTAATTCTACAATAGAGACTGCTTTCTGACATGATACTACAGCCAGAATGCCTAAAATTACTAGTTTCTTCTTGCAATACTTATAGGTGAAGAGATTTGAAATTTAATCAACTTTTCCTATCATCACAATGCTGGAGGCATGTTAACTGCTCCTATCACATCTTTTAATTGCATTTGAGCAATCAAAGAGTAATTCTGTTGCCCTCAGTGTCTCTTCTTAATGATGATATCACATTGGAGGGACATTTTCTGAAAGGTTTTAATTGGTTTAATTATTGTTATGAAACATTGGAGTGGAATGTTTGTACTAAATTAGTGAGCCAAAGGAAAACGTGGTAGAAATGGCAAATGAAATAGGGAGGTAGATTTAGATGTAAATGAATTCTTGACTGATGGCCAAGCCCGTGGTTGGGATTATTGTCTCACAAAAAAGATTATACATTAGATAAAGAAAATGTTAAATTTGGCATTTGTAAAATTAATTTCTTTTTTCAAAATTTTTTGTCCACCTAAAAGAGAAAAATGGAAAGACTCCGACTAGAGCAGTGGAAAAATAGGAAGGAGATAGTGTCATGAAAGGAAAAAATATTGTGAATAATTTTAAGACATTTAGCCAATTTTACATAGGACATATTTCTAGTTTATATTTTACATTGCATTATATAATATGTGAACATTACATAGTACAATTTTTTTTCTAATTGTTTAAAAATTATTTCTCTTTCTGTAATAATTTTCTCTTCCTAGCTTAGTCCTAGAATTGTAGCTTTTAAAATTTTATCCTGGCTACTTTTGACCCCAAAATATTTATTTATTTAATGTAGTGCAATGATAATGTAAGATTATATATGTATATACACACACACGTATATATATATACACACACATATTATATATATATATACATGTATATATACACAGTCATATGTCTCTTAACCACAGGTATAAGTTCTGAGAAATGTGTCGTTAGGCGATTTTGTCATTGTGCAAACATCATAGAATGTACTTACACAAACCCAGATGATATAGCCTACTACACACCTAGGCTATATGGTACTAATGTTATGGGACCGCTGTTGCATATTCTGTCTGTCATTGATCAAAACACTGTTATGCAGCACATGACCTCTCTATCTCTGTATATATGTGTGTGTGTATGTATATATAATCTTGTACATAAGATTACATACTCGAACATCAGTGATCTTCATTGTCTGTGTTTGTGTGTGTGTAGACTCACACAAACACACACATTTTGAAGATCACTATATGATTTCATTTTATGTTAGGGGTTCTTCAGAGAGCTTTTATTTGATACTAACTCTTTCTCCAGTTATCACATTATGCCTAAACCTTGGAAAGGACTTCCTCTCCTGATGTATTTTAATAAAATACTCTTAGAGCCACGTACTCTCCATCTTTTCTTCAGAGGCAGTAGTTATCTTGATTTCTGTTGCATGAAGACTTATATCTAATGGAAATTGTAAAAATACCATCTCAGGTTCCAATAGTGGGAAATAACTGCAAGTTATAATAAATCAACTGGAAGATGGAGTTTTACTTTTTAAAAGAATAATTAAAATTCAGAGTTCTCTTTGATGTATTAGTGTAAAGGTTAATTACAGTGTATGATTTACAGTGAGGCATAATGAAAATAATCTTGAATTAGGTATTATAAGACCTGGACACTTGTCTGAACTTCACCATTTATTTGCTCAATGACCTTGGGCAAGACAGTCTCAGCCTCACTCATCACCAGTTGAAATGTGTAGTTAACAATATCTTTACTGCCCAACTCTTCATAGTGTTGTCAGGATGAGATGGTCCATGTGAAAATATTACATAAACAGTGAAATTATGTATAAAAGTGACTGTTGTAAATAACAGTTAATATGGGCCAGGCACTACACTAAGCATTCATATCATTCTTAGAACAGTTGTATGAGACAAGTAACATTGCTATTTCAATTTTACAGATCAGGAAAGTGAAGCTCAGAGTGCATAAGACACCTTAGTGAGCTCATGCCATCGGTGAGTGAGAAAGGCAAGATTTGAATACAGGTCTGTCTGACACTAGAACTGATGCTCATAATTACATAATTTTTGTCACTCATCTGAATAATAATTGCTATATAGAATTATGTGGGAAGTGGATAAGGCAGGAAAAATGAATTCTCTTTATTATCACATCTGAATTCTAAATGTGAAAACAAAATATTATTTATTTTTCTTAAAAACAGAATGCCATGGAGTTCTAACTATCCAAATGTGTTCTTCCTTTAGAATTTAATTGTCTTGGATCCGCTCACAGTGACTGAGGAGGAAATAAGACCATCACTAGAGAAACGTCTTGAGGCCATTATCAGTGGGGCCGCTCTACTGGCCGACTCTTCATGCACGAGGGATTTTCATCGGGAGCGCATTATCGCAGAATGCAATGCCATTCGCCAGGCTCTCCAGGACCTGCTTTCAGAATACATGAACAATGTAGGTGACTGGTTTCTCCCCACCCCGTACACTGGTTGTGCACTGATGTTCTTTCCATGTACAAATGTGATGACTTACAAATAAGGACGTGATTTTACGTGGATTGGCTTTCTGAGTAGGTTCTGCTTGGGTTACTCGCAGGGTACTGATTGACACAGGAGCTCTGGAGATGGAGTCCAATTAGAGGGTTATTTACATATGATTGTTTTGTTTGAGGCAGTATCTAAATATTAGTTGAAGAAGTTAGTCATGACTGGAGAAAGGAAACTGGAGTTGCACATCCATTTAAAGGATAAAAAGAAGATTAAGAAAAGGGCTAGTTGTTCAAGATTAAGTCGGTGAATAACAGAGTTAGAATTTAGATAGTTTTAGATAAGTTCAATGCTGCAGTGATCAAGGGCTGTTTTTGAAAGTGTAAAGAGCTCATGTAGTTTGGATAGTTCTTAAAGTTTTTCAAACATAACCTAATGTCATAGATGTTTTGCAGTTTTAGCTATCTCTCAGAAATATTAGAAATGCTGTCTAAATTTAGACAAGTGTGAAACTATTTCAAAGTTTTTTTATTTCATTTTTTATGTATTTATATATGATATATTCATTTCATATATATCTACATCTATCTGTGGAATATCCTTGACTATTCTTACATTCAAACCTTAGTGCCATTTTAAAGATGAGGAAGAAAGTCTTGAAGACATTGTCAGCTATATACTGATCATGAGGCTTCCTTAAATAATAGAGCTAAACAAAATGAAAGATTTATAATAGGAGTGTTTTGTTTATCTGCCTTATTATAAGTGGAATAATTCAAGAGTTATGAAGGTATGTTTTGGAAATTATTAGTTACAAAGCTCATGACTTTTTGAATGTGAAATTGAAGATTTAGGATTGTTCAGTATAAGTAATTTATGTAAATAATTGAAATGTGCTAAAATTAGTGAGTTTTAAGGACCCTTCAACACATTTGATGTATCTCCATACTCTTAATATTTGGTGACTTTGGCTCCTGACCAAAAATCTCTTGCTTGCCAAGAAATCAAAGTTGTAAGGCAGATTTTGTTAATAAGAAGGACATATTGGTAATGTCATGTCCTCCTTCTGAAGCTAGAATAGCTCTATTTTTAGCTTACAATATATTCTTAAAAATTTTTTAAAGGAGTTGATGAGTTACAGGAAACTCAGAAGATGATGTATTGGAATTTCACCTCCCCTGATCTGTGAACTATTAAAATTATTATCCTTATTTTTATAGATAAAAATATAATAAAGGTACATACAAGTTTATCTATAAATTATAAAATTTTAGGTAAATTCACTGTATCTAAAAAGTTGTTTTATTCTTTTGGATACAAACACAAACAGATGCACATGCACACACTCACCCACATGCATAGTCAGGGATGGCTACGTAATTGTGGAACCCAGTGCAAAATGAAAATCCAAGACTTCTTGTTCAAATGCAGGAAACAAAAGAAGGGTTTTCCAATCCCGTCTCGATTGACCCAAGAAAGATTATTTTTATTTGCTATTTAACGTTAGGTTCTCTAGTGCATAGGTGTATTGTGGAGCATGCAGACCCTCACAGGTGTCCATGGCCCTGCCCTAGGACCCTGACCCACCCTGCCTTGCGCCAAGGCTCCCACCAGGAGTGGAGGGTGGCAGCCATCACTGAGCAGGGGAGCAGGTGGCTGAGGACCTGTCCCGAGAAGGCACTGGGAGGCAGGACTGCATGTGAATCAAGGGAATATGCCTCATTGCCCCATCAGACTTCACTTATATACACAAATTAAAGATAAAATTGTTAAGAATTTCAAGACTGTGCTAGTAGAGCATGAAAAGCCAACCATGGAGCTCCTTTCCGAGCTTGGGGCCCTGTGTGCAGTCTCAGGCCCCTGAGGCTGGTCCTGTACGTGGTACATGTATATCACATAAAAATAGTGGTGATTTTATGATTTTCTTCAACTTTGGGTTAAAAACTATTTCGATTAAATAACGTTCATACCAGGGATGAATTGATGGGAGCATTCTGCCCTGGGTGGAATTAAAAGTTGGTCTGCTTTTTACTATCACCATGCACCAGCAATTCTAAGCATCAATGATAAAACGTTTTTCACAAACTTCTTTTGTTTCTTTAACTTCTAAACAATTGCTGCAGTTATTGTTGAGTTTTAATAATATGTATGTATGATTAAAATTAGCATATTTTTGTGATTACCCTTTAATAAACATTATATTCTTCATGCATTTAAACAGCAGATTTAAAATAAACAATGATGACACAGTGATTGCAATGACAAAATTTAGAAATAGAGTTGCTTCAATTCTGCTATTTTTTTATGATCACTTGGAATTTTTATTTGAATCTAAAAGTTATAGCAATGAAACTGAATCACAAGGGGCGATATTTTTGTTAGGTAAATGCAAATTTCATACATGCAAAGTTCATGCTTGAAATATTTCATTGAATTTGAATAATAGCTTTGAAATTTGTTCTCCTTATGAAAATTGCCAATTGCTTTAAAGTTAGGGACCAAATCAGGAAAATAATGATTATTACTGATTATTAACAAAAAGTAATTTTGTCACAAAAGAAGGGAGGTTTTTAAAAGTATCTATTCCAGGTATCAAATATATTAAGTAAGGGAATGAAAATAGGTATATATTTTTCTATGTCTTACTGCACTTTTTCTTAATGAGGATTTAATCTTATGTTCAGTTTCAAGGCTCATTTGTCAAGGACACAAAACTTATTTATGTTGTTAATATCCTTCTGTGAGATATTTTTGTTTTAAAACAAGGTAAGTTCTGTATTAGAAGAGTGAATGGAAAGAAACTTTTCCATTTATAATATCCAAATAATTGAGATCAAAGGTAAGTAGCTTTTTTTAGCTTGTCCAGATAATTATCTTAATTTTTATTTTTTTGATGGTAGACTTAATCGTAGGAAATTCAAATACTTCTCAGTTATTTCCTTGATTAGATCGCCCTACTCCATGCTTGCTGGAGGCTGTTTTCTTTTTCCTTCCTCCTTCCTCCATGTTTTCTCTTCTCCTCTTCCAGCAAAGGAGTGTAAATGCTCCCCAAAGCCCCTCTCCCTCGTGTCGCTTCCGCCTTCAGAGCTCTCAGCCCTGGTGGAAGGCCTGTGTTTACTCGTCTGCCATCTCCACTACACAAGGGCTCTAGGAGAGTGGGGACTGTCCCTGGCCCTTAGCACAGAGTCTTCCAGGCAGCCAGGTCCAAATCATTATTTGGACACAGGCAAATTGAATTTAGTGCTTGTTTCTTCTCAGTTTTTTAATTAAAATGACAATGTGCCTGAGACAATTAATTTGTACTTGATGATGTTATTTATATGATAATTGTGGAGAAAAGATGGGGAGGGTTAATGGTAAGATCAGAAACACAGGAAAGGAAGAGCACAAAGGTGAGGAAACTTGTTCTTTGGGTGATCTGACTATATTTATGTAATCCTTTCTCCTGGGGCATAATGTTAAATGCTTGTTGAGAAGACATTTTTTTTTCTGGGAATGAAAGACTTGTTGTGAATGTGGGTAACGTCTGGTGATCTGCCCGGGTGTTGGGGTAGAGTTTGAAGAAGGAGGAGCTAAATTTACACGGTGGTGGTCCCAATGATCAGAAACCCATTTGTGGGCACACTATATTAACATTTTGTTGATAAGTACAACCTATTAATAATCAAAAATATGAACTTACAGCATTATGAAAAAGCACTCCAAAATAGTCTATTGGTTCCTTTACATAAAAAAGTGCAGAATTTTAGGCCTACTACTAGTATCTGACCAAGCCAACGAATACTGGAATTAAACAGCAGGAACCAATCTGGAAAACTGTGGAGTGTATTATCAAGAACGTATTTCCAGGTTTATTTTTACTCTAGGTTTATACCACAAATGATGCTTCTCTATAGCTCTTTCATCAGCTTTTATGAAAGGGAATGTACTTTCCTTGAACTAGCTGAACACGAACCTTTCTGAGTTTGCTGAAAGATTTTCAGATAGTTCTCATACTTAAATCCTCAACTTCCTATTTAAAGGAATGTTGTGTTTCCTTTGGTGGGCCTGGTTTTCTGTTCAGACTAGTTAGGAGCTTTTGTAATTGAACTTTGTTGATAGAGTGAATGCTTGATGATAATTCAGACATAATAAAGATAACCATGAAAACTTAAAGCATGGTTAATACTCATCAAAATCTGTGGATCTCTTATTGCATGTGACTTCAAGACTTCAAATTTTGCAAGTCTCTTGATCCCACGGCAGTTCAGCAGCGGGAAATGAATAAAGTTGCTGTTTTTCTCAGGCTCAGCCCATATGACTAGTTTGAGTCTAAATAACTTTGCTTCCTTAAACAGATCAGAAAATCTCCATCATGTTTTCACTGAAGCTCTATCTGCAGAAAGTTCGATGTCTTGTCACATTAGTAAGAAATTAGTAGAAAATGAGACCAGCAGCGTCCATAACAGATAAAACAGCCAACCACTTAACACTGTTAATGATTATATCTGTATGCCTGAATATTTTCCTTTAAAATTTTTATATTTATATATTTTAACTTAGTTTTCTATTGCTACTGTAACAAATTACCACAAATTTAGTGGCTTAACCCAATTATTTTACAGCTCTGTGGGTCAAAAGTCTGATACAATCTCGCCGGATTTAAAATGAAAGTATCAGCAGGGCTACATTCTTTTCTAGAATCTGTAGGGGAGAATCCATTTCTTTCCTTTTCCAGCTTCTAGACGCCACCCGCATTCCTTGACTCGTGCCCTCTTCCTTCATCTTCAAAGCTGGTAAGGTCACATTTCTCTGACCCTGCTTCGCTCCTCACACCTCTTTCTCTGATCACAGCCAGGAAAGATTCTCCACTTTTTAGGACTCATGTCATTAGACAGGGCCCATCCAGATTATCCAGGATAATCATCCCATGTAAGGCCCTTAACCTTGATTACATCTGCAAAGTTCCTTTTACCATGTGAGGTACCA